AAATCACATTACATTAGGACTCGTAGAACTGTCCCGTCTCCACTGCTTCATTTGGCAGCAGCCGGTTTCTGTCACATTAAACCAACACACAATAGGAGGAGGGATGCTAACGGTGCCAGTGCTTATGGTACATGGAGACAGGCCAGATCTGTTTAATGCTCAGCCTGCACGCGCTGGATGTATTTCAATCCACAGCTTAAAAACCCTGTACACAGTTCCTCCCATGTGTATGAATAAAATCTTACAGATACGTATACAAATATATAGTATCCACTGCTCTTGAGGTCAAAGTAAGACCACTATGTTCTGTCTGCGTCTACCAAGGGCTTTGCTTTATTGTCTGATAATCACAAAGTGTGGCTCCATATTTGGAAATCTGACTGCGAGTATCATAGCAACCACAAGAGCAAATCATGACTGAGGTGGTTAAATGTGGCCGCCGAAAAGCAGGAAAGGGGCCAACGAAACACATTAGCTGTCAATCAAACCTGGTGTTAACATTAGAGGGAGCGACCTCGGGGAATGAAGTTGTCTGCTTGGTCTGTTATTTATGTTCATATCTTGATTTAGGAACAAAATAGTGAAATTACTCATCCAGAATCATGCAGAGCGGGTTAATACGAACATTTAAGAGTAAAATGACGAGGCTCACAGCAGCAGGTACAGAGAGAGCAAACTAGGGATGTAACAACAATCGAAATATCATGATATCGTACCATCAGCTATCACAATAATATCTTGGACCATCACAATATATCGAATTACAAGTGTCTTTGCTTGAATTAACAGTTATGGTGCAGCAACAGCTGAAAAAAACAGAGGGAACTACATCGACCATGATCCTTTGCTCCATTTCAGCGCAGACGACAAGAAGAAATAACAGTTCTAACACTTTTAAATCTTAGTTCTTTGGATTAAGTCTTGTCAAGGCATTTTAAGAGGAAAAAGTAGCATATTAACAGTTTTGTTTGCCACAAAATATCACAATAAATATCGTACTGTGAGATGTAAATCATGAAAATATTGTAGCAAGAGATTTGGATATTGTTACATCCAGTGTTGTGCAAGTTCACACTTTTCATGAACTAGCTCAAAGTTCAGTTCACACTTGTTCAAAGTGAATAGTTCACGTTCATAGTTCACAATTTTAATTTCAAACTAGTTCAAAGTTCAGTTCATTTTATATTTAGATGAGATCTGTAAATGAAAGGCTGCATTTATTTTTCAAACTGACTTCTGGTTTACAACAACTTTACAAGATGTTGACTGTTGGACAAGTGACTTTAAAACTGTAATGTGTTATTTATGACTTGTTACTGTCATTTCAAAGTCATTTGTTACATTACAATATTACTGTATTTAAAATGTAAAACATTACACGACTATTGTAGCACTTTTAATTTACTCTAATCAAAAGAACTGTTAAGATGCTGAACTTTTGCGCCGTATATGGACTGAACCAGGACTGAATCAGGACTAAACCAGGACTAAACCAGGTCTAAACCAGGACTAAACCAGACTGAACCAGGTCTAAACCAGGACTAAACCAGGTCTATATCAGAACTGAACCAGGACTAAACCAGAACTGAACCAGGATTAACCAGAACTGAACCAGGTCTAAACCAGGACTAAACCAGGTCTAAATCAGGACTGAACCAGGTCTAAATCAGGACTGCACCAGGTCTAAACCAGGAATAAACCAGGACTAAACCAAGACTAAACCAGGACCAAACCAGGACTAATCCTGGACTAGAACTTGGAATCTAGCACCGCCCCTGAGTGAACCCCGAGTGTGATCGGGCGTCAGCTGCGTTTATCTCGGTGGAGCGTGGACTTCTGCGTCGGTCCTTTCGCTCAGGATCACGGTCTACGCGGGCGAACCTCCGGCGTTTCACCGCTGCTGATATCGCGGTGATTTTAGCAAATTTGTATGAAGAAAAACGAAAAACCCACCATTTCAATCCAGGTTAAAAAAGCATTGTGACGCGCGTTACTGACATATGTACCAAGTAAAATAATACGCGCGTGGAGCAGCACGTCCTGTGCGTGTAGATTTCAGAAAATAGGATCTATCCTATTTTTTGACGCTCTACAGGAGTTTAGGCCCGTATCCCCATCAAAATCCACAGAGAGCATGTATCTATTGTTGTATTTGTGCATTTACCATCAGCACATTGTGCTCCCTGGGCAGTTCTGTACCATGTGAAAGAGCCCAGATCCACATAGACTGTTAATTAGTGCTTTGAAATTTACTTTTGAAATCGTTGCGTTTGCCGTGGTCAGCCTGTACAGAAGGTATATATAAGCAGCTAAACGCGCCCAGTCAAGTTTGATTGACTTCCCATTGAGAGACACAAGAGCCCGTACGTTCCGCTAAAGCTGCCGGTGGAGTCGCCTTCGCGTTGACACGCGGCTGTGGTTTCACGAGGTGAAGTGCGAGCAGATCGTCACTCGTCAAATTCCGACGTTTAACTGAACCCCAACAGTGACGTACGTCGTTCATCACACATAATTTGAACAAATTCACGTTCAAGTTCTTGATTTACAAAAGTGTTGCGTTCAGTTCAAAGTTCACTGAAAAATGAACGTGTTCAATGAGCGCGTTCTTTTGAACTCGTTCATGCACAACACTGGTTACATCCCTACTGCAAACTGTTTAAAACTAACTACTTCCCATTCAGTTTCAGTCACTGCTGACCACTAATGCTCATGTACACATTTCATTCTAGGCACAGAGGGTGGAGGGTCTTAGTCTGATTCATCAGCCGGTTTTACTTTGTTTCACTTCGTACAAACTGTCTGACCTCGCAACCTTAGATTTCGTTCGCTCGACAGTAGGCGGGTACTTTTTATCATTTAATCAGTCACTGCTATTTGGTCGTGATGTATGTAATGTGCCGCTAACAGGGTTAACTGGTATATTAAGCTTTTCCCAAATCCTGTAGGAAGAAGAGCAGTCTTTCATCTTGATAAAATTCACCAAACATTCTCTTTGTTCCATCTTAAAATCCTCAATCTTGGGAATCATTGGGAACCAACACAGAATATATGGCTCTTCACTGATTGGCTGGTGCCCGAACTCGCACTTCCGGGGTTTTATGTGAACCATCTAGTGCACAGGTGTCAAACATAAGGCCCGGGGGCCAGATCCGGCCCTCCAAGACCTTTAATGTGGCCATTGGGTGATTTTCTACAAAAATATTTTAATTATATTTTCTATTAAAATATTGGTAATTTTCTGTGCTTAGCAGCACAGAATTTTTCTCAACATATCAGCGTCTCCAGCGTCTCTGTACGTGGCCCCTCCCACCAGAGCAGCACAAATGAAGACTTGTCTCTTTCCAAACGCTCTTAAAGGACGATCGTTTTGACTGTTGACCGTGACACCCTCATCAACAAAATGTCAAAAATGAGAAAAGTGGAGCCGAGTGCAGGATTTTCCAAGAAAAACTGACTTATTCCTATTTGTGTACAAGTTCATGTTAAAACATTGTGTTGAAATTTTATTTTTCTTAAAGTTTCAGGTTGTTCATAATATTATAATATTATAATATTATAATAAGAAAGAGTTCATCAATTAAAAAAGATTTCTGTAGTAGATTTGTGTTTCTCTGCACAAATATTTGAACTTATTGTTATTTTTGGGGTTTATATGACATGAGTTTTCTGATCCGGACACTTTGGGATCAAAGTAGGTTGGATACCACCCCCGGACCAAAATGAGTTTGACACCCCTGGTCTAGTGTATTCTGATTCATGACTTAGTCGCTGGAGAGAAATGAAATTGAGCGGAGGCACTAGGTGGCGCCAGTGTGGCTAGAAGGGTCTTGCCTATGAACACAATCACAAAACTTGATCCAAGCCACTATTGTCACAATTTATGTTTTAATAATAATAATGATTTTTTAACAGTACATTATTCATTCACCCTACACTCGGTGGTGGTGGTCTTATAACTTTTAAGTTCCTATAGGTGTGTACTGGCTTAGAACTTCAGTGTGCACTAGACTGAGTGGTAACCAACAACACTTTTGCAGTGTGTGAGAGATTCAATCATTTGTTTTCCTCCACCAACAGTAATAAAACTCCTCTACGCCAATGTACACACTAGCACCGGCATCTGTTATGCTGCTTGAAGCATATGGTAAAATAACTCTATAATTGTGAACTGGAGAGCTGCGGTTTCCAAAGATTATCTGCTCATCAAACTGTGAAAAGGACGTTGTTACCCTGCACAGTCAATAGTAGAAAGCTGTAGTACTGATAGAATGTGCTGAAGGTAGACCTCAGAAGTGATAGTACTAGCCTACACACTCACACACTTACTCTGGAGGTTAGGTGGGTTAAGTGTCTTGCCCAAGAACACAATATGCACTAGAGGGAGCAGGGATTAAACTGCCAACCTTCAGGTCAGTGGGAAACGCTGAGCTACAGCCGCCCATTAAAAGGCTGGGTTCCTGTGACATCACCATTCGAAACTGCACATAAAAGTGACAGTGTAAAATACAAGTGCAGGGCTGGTCAGGATTCTACAGTAGTATTTCTTATTCGGCCGTCAACATGCGGAGATTTTAGCCTGGTTTATGGCCAGTACCTCTGTAATTACTGGCTCTACGCAATTTAAATAAAAACTGGTACATTTAACATTGTCTCTGGCAGCAAAAGAACAAAAAAATCACTTTATTAGAATCAAGGAAAAAAAAGAAAAGAAAGAAAAACACACAAAGACATGACTCCCAATGTCTCCCAATTAATATGGCAAGTTTGAAGAAAAATGAAAAAAATGAATAAATAAATAATAAACAATAAACTAAATATAATAATAATAATAATAATAATAATAATAATAATAATAATAATAATAATAATAATAAAGTAAAAAAAAACTACAACACTGAAAAAATTTAATTAAATTAAATTAAAATAGAAGAGTTGCTCTGACTCTTGCCCTTCATCTGACATTCAGACACAGTTCCCTCCCTGTAGCTAACTAGCCCCACCTGGTGGTAGCCGCTGTAGTCCATGTTCCCGGGCAGTTGGAACCCCGGGGCCAGGTGGTGCTCCCCCTCCATCATCTCCGGCCGGATGTACTCCTCCAGGTAGGCCCTGCACAGGCGCCGGTCCCAGTCGTCTGTGATGTGGCCCCCGTACATGATCTCCCCAAACAGGTAGCGCAGGTCGTCGTATGGCACCTGGAGCACAAAGCAGTGTTAAAGGACGGCCTGGGTACGCTCGTCTAAAGTCTGAGCCATGGCACATTTTTTTATGGCATGGCATGCCATGGCACATTTTTTTAACATGTTAATTTTGTAGCTTTATTTTTTTATTTTTTTTTTTATTTTTTTTTACTTAACATTTAGGATTTTTGACCAACTATGAAGTGGAGTTCAAAGGATGGAAGTTAGGGACTATTAGGCTACGTTTAGACAGCAGGGCTTAACACTCAATTCCGATTTTTTTGTGAAATCTGATGTTTTTGCAAGGTTCACATTTCACATTTCCAGTTAAATGTTACTTGTATGTGATCTCCAGTGTGAACATGAAAAGGCCCGAAAGTGTCCCGCATGTTCACTGAAGACACGACGACGTCAACCGCAGCGAGCGTGCTCTGTGTTTATGGAAGTTGTTCAAACATGGATGCAGCACTGAGCACCTGGAGATTTTAAAGTTCCTCTCGTACCAGAGCCAGAACATGAACAACTTACTTGTTTTAAGGAGGAGATTGAGAAGGAGAAGGACGAAGTTTTTGGCCGTGGTGTTTTGTGGGACAGTGGCAGTGACGTCCGTTGAAAGGAACGTGTGGATGTGGAGACGGAGCCAAGAGTGGTGAGTGGTGATGTGCTTCGCTTCAGTGACATGGAGTTCATTAACAATTTTCGCCTACTTCAGCGCAGAATTGTGACGTTTGTGTCTTGTTGATAATGTGCAGGTCGAATGAATGCGCTTTGACCGTTCAGACTGAACATGTCAGATGTCAAAAGATCAGATATGTATCGGTTTCAGGAGCACATATCCAAGTGTCCTAGGTCGCATATGAAAAAATCGGATCTGTGTCGTTCAGACTGTCATTAAAAGATCAGATACAGGAACATAGAGGCCAAAAAATCGGATTTGGGTCACTTTAGGCTGCAGTCTGAATACTGCCTTAGAGTGTGTGATTTGAGCGGTTTGTGTTTCCTGTATCTATGCAGACCCAGCATCATAAAAGTAACAAATTACAGTAATGCATTACTTTTTGCTGTAACGCAGTAATGTAAGGCATTACAGGGGAAAAAATAGTAATATTTTACTCGGTACAAATGTGAGTAACGCACGTTACAATGGTTTTTTTTAACCTGGATTGAAGTGGTGGGTTTTTCTTCATACAAATTCGCTAAAATCACCGCGATATCAGCAGCGGTGAAACGCCGGCGATGCGCCCTCGTAGACAATCAGGTGACCGCGGGCGAAAGGACTGACAAAGAACTCCACGCTGTTTAGACCTGGTTTAGACCTGGGTCAGTTCTGGTTTAGACCTGGTTTAGACCTGGTTTAGACCTGGGTCAGTTCTGGTTTAGACCTGGTTTAGACCTGGTTTAGACCTGGGTCAGTTCTGGTTTAGGCCTGGTTTACGCTCGTCCCTCCCTCTATCGCAGTTCACTTTTCGCGGTCTCGCTGTTTAGCAGATTTTTTATTTTTTTTTTTTTTTTTTGTGCAATTTTGCATGCCCCTTTTTTTTTTTACATTGTATGAACATGTGTTGCGTTCCTCCCGCTGCGTCCTGACTGGCTAAGGGACTCCTGTCTCCTGTACAGTACAGTACAGAATGTGTTCAGCTGCCAAATTTAAATACATGTTCAGTCTCTAGCAGTGTGATTCTGAAGTGCTGTACGGTTGCAAGTTTTCTCCCCGACGAAACCCACAACGTTGACGAAACTTTCTGCACCGACAAAGGCTCCTGCACTCGCACCCAAAAGGCAGAGGAAGATGCAGCACACAAAAAGTTGGACTTCTGGACACGCTGAAGGAAGGTAGAAGTTACGCGCTGTAACAGACTCTTGCACCGGCTCGGGAACCTGCAAATAGTTGCTGAAATCAGGACCGTGAGCCCGAGCAGCAGGGTCCATAAAGAGCGATCGGGCGACAGCCACTCTTACCTCCGTGAGGTGCGGAGCAGAGCCGCTCCTTTCTCCTGCGGTCACCTTCGAGCCCGTCCCTACAGTGAGTCCTGTTTTAGTCCTAGTTCAGTTCTGGTTTAGTCCTGGTTTAGACCTGGTTTAGACCTGGTTTAGACCTGGTTCAGTCCTGGTTCAGTCCATATACAGTGCAAAAGATATTTTGGTGAGAGTAACTTAAAGTAATGCAATAGTAATGTAATGACTTACATTTTAAATGCAGTAATATTGTAATGTAACGAATTACTTTGAAATGACAGCTATTTGGACTAGTGCTGTCATGCGATAAAAAAAATTGAGAGATTAATTAATTATGATCTGTAATTAATTAATCTAATTAATCTCTTTTTAATCTCACCTAAAAATTGCTGAGAAAAGCTTCAATTTGAGGTATTTTCATTTAAATTCATTATTACATTATTGTGGCAGATCAAAAGACTGATATAGAACAAAAAAAAGTGACTTTATAAAGTCATTTATTGTTTAACAATAATCATCATTATTATTACTATTACTAAACTGCAGTGCTGGGAAGGTGACTTTTAAAATGTACAGATTACAGATTACATATCCCAAAATGTAGTTTGTAACATAATCCATTTAATTACTTAAAGTGAGTAACGTAATTTGAATACTTTGGATTACTTGATATTGTCATGCTTTTTAAAACTACATGAATGTAGCAACTGCATCCTGCAAATTCTTGTTTGTTCTCTTCAAATTGTCTGTTGAGCCCAAGTCTCCATGAATAAGAAACTGTTTGCTGTAAAGTAGCAAAGACGAGGAAATCTGAACATAATAACTTTTGTCTACTTAAAGACAATAAAAAGTCCAGTCTTTCCTTAACCATATTAAAAATATTATTAATAGAGAAATGCTTTATATATGAGATCACTGGTTTAGTCCTGGTTTTAGTCCTGGTTTAGACCTGCTTTAGTCCTACTTTAGTCCTACTTTAGTCCTGGAATGGGTTAGTCCTGGTTTTAGTTCTGGTTTTAGTTCTGGTTTAGTCCTGGTTTAGTCCTGGTTTAGTCCTGGTTTAGACCTGGTTTAGACCTGGTTTTAGTTCTGGTTTTAGTTCTGGTTTAGTCCTGGTTTAGACCTGGTTTAGTCCTGGTTTAGACCTGGTTTTAGTTCTGGTTTTAGTTCTGGTTTAGTCCTGGTTTAGACCTGGTTTAGACCTGGTTTTAGTTTGGTTTTAGTTCTGGTTTAGTCCTGGTTTAGACCTGGTTTAATCCTGGTTTAGTCCTGGACTGGTTTAGTCCCGGTTTGGAGGGTTCTGGTTTAGAGGCGCACAGGAGGAAGCGGTGTCCGCAGTAACTACGGAAGGAAACGTGGTCTGCGCGTTCTCAGGTTAATGCCGATGATGAAGGTGTGTGTTTGTGTTTGTGTGTGTGTTTGTGTTTGTGTGTGTTTGTGTGTGTGTGTGTGTGTGTTTGTGTGTGTGTGTTTGTGTGTGTGTGTGTGTGTGTGTGTTGTGTGTGTGTGTGTGTGTGTGTGTGTGTGTGTGTGTGTGTGTGTGTGTGTGTGTGTGTGTGTTTGTGTGTGTGTGTGTGTGTGTGTGTTGTGTGTGTGTGTGTGTGTGTGTGTGTGTGTTTGTGTGTGTGTGTGTTTGTGTATAGGACAGTAGTGCAGACATCATGAGCCTATGCAGGTTGTTTTCACCAGTGACATTTAAGTTGTAGGCGATTTTATATTTGTTATTTTCTTTTATATCTCACGTCGGGAGAAGAATTTCCAAGACACGAATGTGTTTTTACCTGTGCACTGCTGCCTCTGTTCTACGCCAACGTTAACATGACGTTTACATCGCTCTTACTGCGTGCGTTCTGTGTGGGTTTCCGGCAATGAGTGGAATTACCGAAATAAAAAAATTCATAAATGTGTTTTTTGTGTGTGTTGTTGTCCCAACAACACATAAAAACAGATTTTATAATAGAGCAACTCGTATTCAGAAACAATAAAGTTAGAGATTAAAAATGAAATTAACGCGATTAAAAAACATAACCCACTAAATATGACTGTAATTAATTAATCACAATTAACGCAATAATTTGACACCCCTAATTTGTTCTTGATTCTAGATCTGGGCTCCCTTCTGTTAAAACAAAAGTGGTAAAGGTGTACAGTTCTGGTTCAAAAGTTTAAAAGGAACCAGTTCCACAAAAATGAATAGTTTTCACCCACAGGAGGAGCAGGACCCCATTTCAGAGACACACTGAGCCTACACATGCTGCTGTTTACAGACAAAGTGCAATGGAGAAAGGAGAAGCTGTCAAACCCCCACTTTAGGAACCTCTGCTCTAGATGATACATCGTATATCTCTGCTTTGAAGGCCCCAGAAAGCAGTGAGCTTTCACACTCACTCTTCACATATAATATTCTGGGCCACTCCAGGAGGATAACAAAAGAGAGAAAAAAAATCTTCCGCTTTTGCATTGATTTTTGATTTACAGTGAGATATTGAATTACAGTGAAATATTGAATAACAATCTGTCTTGTTTTATTCATATATTTTTTCATACAATAAAAAAGTTGTCACCAAACTGGGTAAATTAATACTAATCAGATTCTGATAAACTTGTATCTTGTCACTGACAGGGCTCACTGGAGCACTGATCTCTGAGACACAGGAAGTCTGCCATATCAGATTGAATTTCTGCCACCACTTTCACTGCATGTTTATCTTAACATATATGTCTAGAATGTAATTGGTTAGTTTTTAGTGCTGATAGTTTCTGTCTCTAACAGTTTATTCCTTAGTTCTAAGTTGGTGTTACTTAGGGTGAGAGCAGCAGCTGTTAAATTGTGTCTGATCCAATCTGAGCTTTCTACATTGTTTAGAAACCACACAAACCTTCAGTCTCCTCTGAAGTAAAGTTACCACAATTTCACCTGCACCTTTAGATCCCCGGCCTCTGCCCCAGCCTTTAAACACTTCACATTTCCCATTAAGATAACACGCTGTGGCCTTTGTGGAGGGATCCAGCGCACCTTGGGGCTGGCCTCCAGGTAGTTGTAGAGCACGCTGATGGAGATGGTGAGGTCTCCGGTGTTGAAGGGGTACGTTCTGTTCCAGCCTTGGGGACCAAACTTGCTTCTCTGGGACACGACGGCGTGGAAGTAACACAGAGAGAACAGGATGTTTTTGAACTCACTCTCCCGCGAACACATCTCCAACGTGTCCTGTAAAACAAGCACAGCACAGCCAGGGTCATGCCTGCCACACAGTCAGGGTCGCTCCTGCCACACAGTCAGGGTGACTCCTGCCACACAGTCAGGGTCGCTCCTGCCACACAGTCAGGGTCGCTCCTGCCACACAGTCAGGGTCGCTCCTGCCACACAGTCAGGGTCGCTCCTGCCACACAGTCAGGGTGACTCCTGCCACACAGCCAGGGTGACTCCTGCCGCACAGGGTGAGGGGAAGCTGGTGGTGGTGAGGTGGTTGTATTGATCTAGTGTGTGCTGTGTAGTTCTGATCTATGACCTGTGGATGATCATGTGATGATCATTTGCACATATGAAATGACAATATTGATCTACAGTGACTTTAAAAGAATCAAGTCCTCTGACTTCTGTTAGAAAACTATGGCGCTAAATGAGAACGTCACAGTAAATATCATTCAGAGCCGTGCTGATGTCGGTGCCTCAGATGGAGATCTGCAGATCAATCAGCTGATTTTTTGTTTCATTTGTACCAAGATGACTACACGATGCTGCCAAATCCTATGGGCATCATGGATTAAGAAAATCAAATTGGAGAATGAAGTACGTCACAGTGGGCGTGTAACTGGTGTCTGTCAAAACAGGAGCTGATCGGCGTCTTGAAAAGTGATAAAAATGAATCCAGTGTGCACGAATCAATTCAAATAGAACTTTCACGGGGTAAATGGTGAAGGGAATCAACTATACCATGTCTAAAACCTCTGTAAAGTCCATTTTGCACCATAGGTCTGCTTGAAGTGCATATGACAGGTAAGATATATCAACATATCAAATATTTCTTTGTTTGGTGAGTCTCTTTGTCAAATATTTATAATATATCATCATCCAAGTGTCAGTTTATGAAACTGGGAACTCTACATCAATCATCAATACACAAATCTCCTGAAAATGTATGGCTTTGCCTGGAGTAATATTATTTATTAATTATCTCCTTTGCATTTCTTAAAGTCACAATATGTAACATTTTAGGCAAAAAATACACAAACATACATCTTTACAGTGAGCAGGCTCAATCAAAGCTTATTTATCCTGAGGACGGCCTTCTGCTTGTTTCCATGGAAATGTTCCTTTGGCTATAATCTCCAACAGTATGGTTTAAAACATATCCATCTCTACGCAGAATGTCCCAAAGTATGATTTATTATCTTGTTGTAATGTATGTATTTCACCAGGACAGTCCTGCTGAGATTTGGAATTTAATTTCAGGAATGTCCTGGCCTTTCATTTTGACAATGTGAAAGACCAGAGCTGTCTTACAGTAAAAGAATACTCACTGTAGTATCTGTATTAGGGCCCGATCGATATGGATTTTGTTATGGCCGATTTGAAACCGATAAAATGGGAGTTGGAGCTGCTGAAAGCCGATATAATCGCCGATATATTTATTAGTGATGTTAAAATTCACTGTAAATCTTGAATTGTTTAAAAAAATTAGGTTTGGCTCTAGTGGATTTTAAATTGGGTTTATTTAGGCAACATTTATTGTTATTCTGCCTCTTTACATCATATTTACAGACAGTAGGTCAGACTAATGGCATTTTTGCATCACATTCTAGCTACTAGTGATGAGTATTCCAGTTCTTTTTAGAGAACCGGCTCTTTTGGCTCGGCTCACTAAAAGCATCTGGCTCTTTCAGGCTCCCAAGCGGCTCTTCAGATTGTTTTGTTGCAAAAAGGACTAAAGCAGGACTAAACCAGGACTGAGTGTCGGGACTCGGTCTCTATCTCTCTCCGTCTCTCAAGCCCAAGATAGAGTCTATCTATTTTATGCTGAACTACAGGCAAACATGCACGTTTTTCTCTCCTATGCACACGCAGATTTCTGAAAGTTTCGATTTCAGCCGCTGCCGCTGTCAAACTCCCACGAGTCTGCACGAGACATGAAGAGAAAAAAAGTGAGAGAAAGAGAAAACACGACTCCCAATAAGGAGCAGGCTCCTGTCGTTCTCTTCAAAGAGCCGGCTCTAAGAGCCGCTTCATTTGCGACCGACTCATCACTACTAGCTAGTAAAGAAAGTACCGCTATTAGCCTTTAGCCGTAAATAGGTGCGTGTCGTGGTAATTAATTATATGTGGATCATTCACACGTCTATTCACAGCTCATTTACATATCAGTGCTGGTCCAGTAACAAATATACGGCCAATACAGTCACTTTACAATAGACCAACAGAAAACAGCCTGTTTATGTGCGGGAGCTACAGCAAGTTAGCGACGCTACCCAAAACTAGCTTTAAAATCGACATATTTCCAACACTCAGCGCTCACACAGGCTCCTCCTCACATCACAAGTCTGCACTAATAAATGTCCTTTTAAACCAGACTCAAACCGATTGTCTGTAAAAAGAAAATAATCTCAGAGTTGCACATGGATCTGTGTCTGCAGGTGTAAACAAACACACATGAGTGACATGACTCTGTGGTGTGTTCAGGGACAGTACAGACACACACACAGACAATAGACTCCGCAGATAAATACTGATGTGGAGCCACATATTAGGACATTTATCTGTCTGTAAATTGGATTAAATGAACATAATGTAGAGAGTCTAAGATTTATAACGACGTATCACATGCACATGTGAAATATCGGCCCATATCAACAAACGACGGATAGTCGATACGTCTCCAGGAACCCATCGGCCGATAATATTGGCTAACCGATATATATATCGGTCGGGCTCTAATCTGTGATACAGTAAGAATACTCACTGTAGTGTATGTGATACAGTAAAAGTATGCAGTATTTTTAGTATTAGTATTGAAACAAAAACAGCACTGATGCACTCTGTTGGCTCTACATTAGCACAAATCCAGGTGATCCAAGTGTCAGTGAGTGTGGAGCAGATGCTCTTGTTGTTTTTGCTGCGTTGTCCACACACGTCTGTAGTCCACAGCTCCATGTGCTCTGAAGCAGAGCTCTTGTGGCTGTGTTCAGGTTGGACGTGTCTCAAAATGGCCGACGTGTTTAATTTAGCGCGGTCCCCAGCAGTGCGCTGCGGAGCCCGTCAGCACCGGGATACAGCCGTGACAAGGTGCCACTAAAGCCAGAGCCCAATTCTCTTTTAATTGTCACCAACTGTCAGCGCGCTTAGCTCCGGGGGTCCCATTGGCTCCTTATTCCCGACAGGCAAAAAAAAAAAAAAAAACACCTAAATGCCACTGTATAATCAGAAGAAAAATACAGTTAAATAAGCCTGCCAATAAAGTCTGGTGGAGGACTCAGTGAGCAGCAAGTGTGACGTATGGCAAAGATGTTTCATCACGTACACTAAATCTCCTCGGCTCTTGTGTATCACACAAGGCCTGTTACACTTGTATGGGGCTTTTGCTAACACACACACAGATCACCATGTTACTTTTTATCTTTCTGAAAATGATATATTCACTATTAAAAAGATTAATCAATTAATCAAACTTTTGTTTTTGACACTGTGAAGCCCCCTCCCTTTCCCCCCCCCCTTCAGAGCACAGTCACATCACCATCAGTGTGGATCCCACTAATGAAACTACTGCACATCTCATCAGGTTTATCAAGTTGTAGTATATTGTATTTTGTTTTTGTGTACTTGTGGAGAATTGTTGTGTGGGAGCATGGGTTGACTTGTGGGTGAATAGAGCCTGGAAGAGATCACTAGATTAATCAAATATGCGTGGATGACATCTCAGAACTCCTGGCTTGGTTTTGATGAGGGCAAACATATTACTTAATAATATGACAAACAGCTCCAAAAAGTTGACGTTGTGTAATCCAAAAAACAACTGAAAAACAAACATTCTAACTTTGAGCAGGGTCCCGGCTTGTTTCCAAAAGTTTAAAGGGGACAAAGTTGCAAAGAGCTTTTAACCATGTTATTATCCCCGTGATGATCAGGTTTTTTGAGTATCCTGGTTTCGTCACGGTGCATGTATATGTAGTGTCCTGATTTCAATATCCTGGTTATGAGAAACTGAGGTACTGTAGCTGGAATATTCCAATAGTAACCGGGATACTGTGGCATGTATATGCTGTTGAACACAACATGAATACAGATAAATGTAGAACACCCCCAGCGCGATGTCATTGCAAAGTATCAAGAACTGTGTTGCCTTCTCAGTTATACTTGCTCCCTCTGCAAGCCCTCTGCTGGGTGCTTACTTTGAGCTCAGATTTTACAGGATTCCAAATAACGGGAAGCCATTTGGAGCAAATTATTGTATAGCAGATAAAAGTGAAATATTTCTTCTTTAATGTCATACTTCCAGACAAAGCAATAGCAGCTCCGTGGAGACAAGTTCCGCTTTGTTTTCACTTCCTTAACAATGTACTATCGAACTTTTCCAGTGGAGTGTCTGACACTTTCTTGTCTCCATGGCCTCCTGGAACTGAAAAATGCAAGGCAGATACATTTAAAGGGCCAGTACCCCATTTTCCCCTTATATTTGAGCTAAATGTGTCTTGATTACTTACTAGCTTTGTAGGTAAAAAATAAAATTAGAAAGCATTACATTGTCCAATAATCAGGCAGTGTGCATTAGCATTCTAATTGTTGTTACATTACAGTCACCGTACTGGTTTCTGAGAGTTGTGAAAAGTGCTTATAAACTCCGGTGAACAATTAGGACGCTCAGAAACAATAAGGTAAGTGAGGATGTTGGACCACTGCAAGCCATTTTGAGATCCAATATTATGCAAAGATGACTTATATGAGCTTTTAGTCATGTTATGTTTTTACCTCATCAAAAACATCCCTGGAGTTGTGTTTTGTTTCATTCACACATGTCCTGCATTATTATCTGTCTATATCTCCAGCTCAAAATGTCCTTTTCCACCATCATGTCATAAAGCATTTGTGAGCAGCTCCTTTTAACTTTAGTTCAGTAGAGATTGGCAATATCTGGGTTTCATGTGACGTCACAGGGCTACGTTTGTCAGCACGCAAAATCAGATGGAGAGATGGAGGGCAGGAAGTGAACTGACTGG